ATGCCTCTTTTCTAATAACTACGTATTGTCTTCTACATATATCTCCTTTCTTACCATCAAGCTTTTGTCCATATATCTTGTACATGGTATCTTATGCACTCATATCGTTTGAGATGACATCGATCAAAACCACATGGCAAATCGATGTTGGGGAAGATGAAGTTCAGAAACTCCCTGTCTCCCCTCAGAAAACCTGCATACGGAGTGTTGCATCGCCAACCTTCTATCTATTTCATCTGAAGCTTAGGCACTTCACTATTTGTAAACCAGTTCACGATAATTTACCTAACAAATTAACATTTGCTTGTGGAGAGACATACCTATAATTTCTTTCCCGTTGTGCATTGATAAACTTTCGTCCCACCCTCGAAAGCCATATATTCAGACGATTTAAGCAGCTTATTTTTGTTGGAAAAGACAGGCGGTGAGGTCATCATTAACGGTCACCAGCAGAAGTATGTGGACCAGTACCACGGACGGATGGCTGGCCGTGCAAGTCAGTCCACTTCGTACGACGCAAGGTGACTTTTCAGGTATAAGTAGCCAGTGTCCTTAGCTTGCAAGCCTGGGCTCTTAACCGAGTAGCAGGCAGGACTGACTCAAGTACCAGAAGGCCACCTGATGGGTATGAATATGCCACAAGGTCTCACGCCTGCTTCTGCATCCATGACCATCCCGATGTGGCATTCCTCAAGGCCCACGCTCGGGTTCCCCCTCGGCATGGCGCTCCTGCTCCTCGTCATCTTCTCCCTCGGTGCCATCTTCTCCTGCTGCTACCACTGGGACAGGCTCCGCTCCCTCCTCCGGTCTCGGCATCCCGGCATGCTCCAGGAAGGTCCGCACACCGTCATCTCAATTGGATCGGCGCCGAGCAAGGCTGCCTCCGAGCACAAGGTAGCAGCAGCAAGCGATATATCTGTCGTACACCTTATTTTGTGTTTTGGCAATCATCTATCTCTTGCAAACTTGAGCTGATGATTTATGGCCCTTGCCTCCTTGTTTGCAGAGCGAGAAAGCTGGAAAGGAGTGCGGGTTGCCCGTGATCATGCCCGGGGATAACATCGCGAAGTTCTACGCGAGGCCCTGCCCGCACGAGGCGTGTTTAGCTGCAGCAGCAGCAGCAGCAGCAGAGAAGGGCGAAGTCGAGGTGCAAGTCAGATGTTCAGTTTCGTGACCGTCAGTATCTGTATATGAAATCGTACGTAGCTAGGTGCTGGCGAATTATGATTGATAGATAGATTGTACATACGCAATGTTTTAAATAGCGGGCTATGGCATTTAGTGGCGACCCTTAAAAACAGCTATAGCTGGGCTATAGCGGGCTATAGCGGAGCTATAGCGGCAAATATTACATGAAATCATTTAGCGGCAACACCCTCAAACAGCTATAGCAAAGCTATAGCGGGGCTATAGCCGGCTATTTAAAACTATGCTTATGATTGATGGATTGATTGTGTACTCGCATGCATTTTGATAGTTTTTCAAAAAAGAGGGGAGAGAAAAAATGAGAACCTTTCATGTGCAGATAGCCAGATACGCAACACGAATAGTCCAGAAAAGGCGATTTTTGTGTCAGCAAACTAGCTGAATATTTGTTTTTCTTGTCATGGAACTTGTTGAATGCCATGAAATTTGGGATCTTTCTATTAGGGGGTTGGGGTGGATGTCATTTCAGGAAAACCAAGAAAAGTTCATAGTAGCTTCTTTTTCAAATTATCTGGGAATTTGTTAGCATCTGTTCTTTCTGCGAGGTTTTTGAAAAGGAAAAAAGAGAGGAAATTAGATTGCCGCTGAACCAAATAGGATCCTTGTCCTGTGGTGCCCCACCGTACGTATGTATATGCACGAAAGCACGACGGAATTGGATTGAAACATGGACCTAACAATAACATTCATATCGGCTGGGATTGTGGTGAGTGCAGGATTAATTAAGTCCGGCCATGACATACTCTGGTCCGTCCTTATGCACGGGTACAACAAGGACGTGTTTGGTTGACAGCACAACCTCCATCCAGGATTTGGGGGACAAATTTGGCTGTTTGGTTAGTCGCGTGTTCGGCTGGGTCTGTGCCGCACGCTCCTCAAAGCAGCCCAGAGCCTAGCTCTAGAGGAACGACCGGCTTGGCCGTTTCCGCTGAGCTAGGCTTGAGCGAGCGCAAATAGTACACGTGGCTGCACAAGCGGGACGAGGGGGAGACGACGATATGTTTCCCGAAGGCACGCCATAAAATCACCTCACCGCTCAATCGCTCATGTCTCCCCGTCACTCTCCTCTCACCTTCGGCGGCACCATGAATCCATGATGAGCATCGTTGGCTGGAAGATCTTGATGGCGAGCATCGGCGACCGGACGATCTGGATGATGATCATCCGAAGGCGCTTCATCACCACTTCGCCAATGAAGGTAAGTCGAACCCACCAAATCTGTATGTAGGACGCAATCTAAGCCCGATTTAGGGTCTGACATGGTCCGATTTGGGGTAAGATAGGATTCATTTGGGGAAGATCGGTCACTAAACCTAAAAGGTTGTAGCGTATGTGTCAAGCTTAATGATCCTCATTGTTGTGCAGTCGATGTATTAGGGCGATCCTTGGTATGAGGGTTGGTTCTTCACATTGTAGGTCTGATTCTTGTACCTGCTCTCCTCTTCTAGATCATTCAAGCTTAATTGTTGTGCAACCAATATATAGTATGCTAGAAATATGGTAGTGTGTCGAGCTTCATTATCTACGTTGCAGTGCTGTATTGGCAAGCTGGTCCTCGACAATGCTGTTGGCAGCTGCTTGAAGGATGGGGGAGAAGACATCGGCTCCAAGAGGTGAAGGGGGAGGCCGACAAAGGTTGGCCACTTCAATGAGGTTTGTGGAGAATGATGATGACGATAATGACGACAATGAGTGCCCTCAACATGGTTTTATTTGTTGCGTGGTGCGTTTTACCTTGAGTGTGCCCGATCAGCGGGTATTGATGATAATCTTTCAATTTTTGATAATTAATTCGACAACTCCATTCTTCTTTCTTAATCAATAATTAATAATTCTCACAAAAAATAACAATTACTAAACAATGCAAATCTTTCTACGTTTAAAAAGCTCAATGATGGTGCTTGTGTCTTTTTACCGTGACCCCGCCCTCACAGAGAGAGAGAGAGAGTACAAACACAGCCAGGCAAGAGGTCCAAGCAGTACTAATCGGCAAAAAAATTCAAAAACAATTATGCAAATACATATGACTGTTCGTCAAGTATGTAAAAAGTTTCATTGGGTAATTCGATTATTTGCATGCTACACACAAAGAAAATATCTGGCCCCGAAACAACAAAGATAAAGCCCATTTTAATCTGTGTATTTATCTTTTTTGTATACATTACATTTTAACATATATGTTCATGAAATTTTATACGTGTATACTACAAATATTCATCTATGTATATACTTCTTTCAGATTTTTTCAATGTGTGGAAATAGTATATTTGCTAGAAAAGATAAAGAGCTCTGTGGAACTCGGCCTCTGCTATGCTTTTTCATGCCCTTCTCCCCATTTTTAGTCGGCAACGTGGCCCTAGCGACCAAATAAAAATCTTTTGGGAGGATGATAGTACCCCATGAGCCGGACATGCATGTTCTTCATCTACTACTTCCGTCCTGTTTATTGCTCCTCCTCATACTTTGAGCCAAAATTTGATCAGGATTTAACTGTCAAAATGCTAATGCATGTCACAAAATATTATATCGTTGGATTTGTATTTAATCATAATTTTCAATTATACTTTTTGTTTGTAAAATGCATTACCATTTTGTTAATTAAATCCATGGTCAAAATTTGACACAAAATACTAAAAGTATCAATAAATCAGGACGGAGATAGTACTAGCACTAGTACCAACGAATAAATTTAAGTAAAAATTGTGGGCACCATGGAGGGAAGGGGAGCGGCCGAAAATGATGCATCTACAGACGTGGCTTATGAGAACAATCGTACAGGCGGACATGTTCTGGGGCCATCCACCTATACCTGGCCAAACCTCGGGCCGGGCCGGGCCTAGCCAAGCCCAAGGCAAAAACCCAGGCCCGGGCCCGGCCCGGCCCGGCCATCGGGCCTGGTTTTTAGGCCCGAACCCGACCCGAACACGTAAAAGCCCATCGGGCCTTGGCCCAGGCCCTTTTAGGAAATCGCAAAACCGACAGGCCCGGGCCCCGCATGGCCATCGGGCTCAAAATCTAGGCCTGAGCCCGGCCCAGGAGCAGCGTCAGGCTGGACCGGGTCAGGCTTTTTTGGGCCGGGCCGGACTTCCCATGGCCAGGACTACATCCACCCCACCAACCAACTGATTCCAGCTCTTTTGGTAGCCTCAAGTCCGTAAGTTAGTTCGTAATTGTAGCATTGTTCGGGGAGCAGAGGAGTGCAAGCGCAGGGATACAACACGTCTAACTAATTAAACTATCAAGCCATCTTACAAGATTATTATATATTATCTCTGTTTTTAAATGTAAGACATTTTGGCGGTTCAATTTAAAACTGTCAAAACGTCTTATCTTACATTTAGGAACAAAAGGTGTACTAACTATCAAGCCACCGTTTTTCAAAAAAAAAAACATCAAGCCACCGATTAAGGAAAAGATCTATGTGGATCTCTAACATGTCTAACAAACCCCTATTTTGGTAAATGAAATCATTAAACCACAAGATCCGTAGAAAACATCCACATTGACTGTCGGTGGTTGATGTTCCTATTCGATGGGCTAATAGTCTGGGATTTCATATTGAACATCTCGCCCGTGTCAATAAAATAGATAGTATCACGTTCCACATCTACATAGGCATGAATAGACTTGCAGAAGGGTCTGCTAATGAAAAGCGCTTGATCACCTAGGCCATCGGTAATCGGCATCCAGACTCCTTTGCTGGCATTCGCTTCAAAAACCTCCACCTTGCGAGTGAATTTGGTGTTGTGCAAGGGCCATTGTAGTTGTCTTCTCACCATGAGTAACTTCCCGTGTGACTCGACCAAGTGGCAAATGACGGAAACAAAATCATCTGGTGCATTATAGTATCTCAGGTAGGCTGTACCATCGAGAATCATGTCGTCGCCAATTCTCTCCCTAAGTTCATCTAAGGCGCAATCCTTCTCGTATTCCTCTTCAGTCATTGTCCCATCATCGTACTCATAATCCTTATGGACCTCGTGCTTATCACCCCCATTGTTTGTGCCTCGAAATTGTCTTCATGATTGTCGTCATCCCTCCATGCATGGAAACGGCAACTGCGCATGGGTGGGTGCCTGATGAGTCGCTCGATAACGGAGATGCCAGGCACACCATCATCATCAAAGTTGATACCGAGAGAGGCGAGGTCCTCGGCCTGAGTGATCCCGTAGAGTTTATCCCCAACAAAAGCAATGTCGATGATGTAGACGAAGGGAGCAGATTCCGGCTCGGGCAGCCACACACACTTCCCCGGCCGAACCAAGATGAGGGGATAATTGCAGTTATAAGAAAAAGTGTTTCCCCCCGCTTTGTATTCCAAAGCAACCATCTGATACATCCAACGATAGGTGCTGGGGCGGAAGCAGCACAAGCACGCCCAAAAGAAAAGAAAAAGAAAAGGAAAAGAAACAAATGCCGATAACGGCGAATCGACAAAAACGACGAAGCCTCGCGACCGCTGCGTCCACCGGAGATCGCCCACCAAGCTCCGAGACTCCGAAGCGCCGGTACCAATCAACACCTCCAAGAAGGAACGCGACGATGACGATGCTGCTGCCAAGGGTTTCCCCTGGTACACCGCGAGGAGAGAGGAAGGGTAGCCTCGACGCCCTCCAGGAAGGTCTGGCGGCACCCTCAAGCGCCACCGCGTCGGTGTCGACCAAACCAACAGGGATTTCTCCCGTTCCCATCCTCTACCTCAGGCACTTCGGAGCTCGCCACCAAACCGACCACCACCCGACGCCAACACGGACACGAAGCTTCCCACGATGTCTCACCACAGCACCGCGAAGATGGCCTGCACAACGAAGAAGAGCCGGGACTAGTGCAGCAGCACCGTCGGCATACGGGAGGGCCCCACCTCCACCGTCCACGACGGTAGCTGACTGGACGCCATAGCATGAGCCTATCGGGCCCGTGGCCCCACAGGCCCGGCCGGGCCCTCAAAGGCCTGGACAGCTCCCGCCTCCGCGCAGCAGCTGGCATGCCGCCGGCGTCACTGTCCCAGTCCAAGCCGCTCCCCTGCCTCCCCATATAGAGGGCGTCTCGGTCGCACCGGAGACGACCCGCAAGGACCCAAACGGGACCCTACGAGCCCAGATCTGGGCCGGGGACATGCCGCCGGCCGACCAGCACCACCGGACCGCCCTGCCGCCAAGAGGCGGCACCACCACGGCGAGTGTCGCCGGCCACCGCACCAGGCCTCCAGAGCGCCACCGGCCGAGCAGCACCGCCGCGTCCCCCCACCCCGTGAAGGAGGAGCGCGCGCGGGGAAGGAACGTCCCGCCGCCGCCGACACCACCCGGCCAGATCCGGGTGCGCCCGCTGGTGGCAACGGGGGGGGTGGTGGTTGGGACGAAGGTGGGCGAACGAGGAGGGAGGGGGGCGCGCCGCCCCGACCGCCTCCCGGGGAGAAGGCGGAGGCGGCTGGACGAGGAGGGGAAAGGGGGTAGGGGTGGGGCGGAGCGCCCGCGCTCGCGCGGAGCGGCGGCGGAAACGGAGGAACGGGAGCGAGGAAGCGGGCGAGGGAGAGCGGGGCGCCGCGCCAGGCGGGCGGTGGCGGCGGGGGGGGCCTAGGGCCCGCCGGCGGCGGGCGGAGGGGGGGAACCCTAGCGGGAGCGGGAGCGGGAGCGGGACGATAGTTGCAATTATTGGTCAGGAAAGCGACGACATCATGAGGGCACGACCGCATGAGCACCTTGCGGACCTCGAAAAGTTTGGAGACGGCACTGATGCGCTTGTGCAAGAAGAAAGGGTTGTGCAAGAAGTTACTATGTACGTTCTCAACGTCGGTGCAGTCGAGGGTAAGCCAGTCGTTTGTGGAGCCGATGCATCTTGCGCTCTTCGGCAAAGTAGGGATGCGGCAGCCACCGTCGTGGGAGGGTGCGGAGAAGGAGCCATCTGACAAGACAATCCACGGCAGCAGTGGCGGCGCCGTGACGTGGCTGCGCATGGCCAGGTGCCACGAACGGCACACAGCGCGGAAGCGGGCGCGGTCGGCAGAGACCGACCACTGTCGGGCACGGCACACTGCCTGGAAGGCACCACAGTCGTCGGCGAAAGAGAGGGCACGCCGTATGTAGAATATGTGAATTGCACTATGTATTGCTCTTCGTGCATAGGCACGTATATATGATGTACAAAGCTGGGCCACGGACCTCAACTATACAAGGAACTAGGAGGCGGGCCCAATACACAATATGCACATAACACATATACTCAACACCCCCCCCCCTCGCAGTCGAAGCGGCACCGCGGCTGACGCAAAGACTGGACCGGAACTCCTCAAATGATGCCGTAGGCAAGCCCTTGGTCATGATATCGGCAAATTGTTAGGAAGTAGGGATGTGTAAAACACGAATATGGCCAAGGGCCACCTGTTCCTGAACAAAATGAATATCCAACTCAATATGCTTGGTCCGTCGATGATGCACTGGGTTAGCGGAGAGGTAGACCGCCGAGACGTTGTCGTAGTAGACCACCGTGGCACGGTCAACAGGACAAGAGAGCTCCTGAAGCAGCTGGCGAAGCCACGAACACTCGGCGACAATGTTGGCCACCGCACGATACTCAGCCTCAGCACTGGAGCGAGAGACCGTAGGCTGCCGCTTGGACGACCACGAGATAAGTGAGGGTCCAAGGTAGACACAATAGCCCAAAGTGGAGCGATGAGTGTCAGGGCAACCCGCCCAGTCTGCATCGGAGTAGGCGGTGAGGGCGGTGTCGGTGGAGGCGTGAAGCGTGACGCCAAGATCCATAGTGCCACAGATATAGCGAAGAATCCGCTTGACGGTAGCCCAATGAATGTCTCGAGGAGCATGCATATGAAGACACACCTGCTGCACGGCATACTGAATCTCTGGTCGAGTCAGAGTGAGGTACTGGAGAGCACCAACGATAGACCGATAGAAAGATGCATCCGAAGCAGGAGAACCATCCGTGGCAGAAAGCTTGGCCTTCGTATCAATAGGCGTAGCGGCAGGCTTGCAGTTAAGCATGTCGGCGCGCTCCAGGAGCTCGTGAGCGTACTTCCGCTGATGAAGGAAGAAGCCATCCGGACGGCGCACCACCTCGACACCGAGGAAGTAGTGCAAAGGACCCAAGTCCTTGATGGCGAACTCAGCGCGAAGACGAGCCGTGAGCTGACTGAGGAGACCAGTCGTACATGCCGTCAGGATGATGTCGTCGACATAGAGCAGCAAATAGGCCGTGTCAGAGCCCTGATGATAGACGAAGAGCGAGGCGTCCGAGCGGGTAGAGCAGAACCCAAGCTGGTGGAGAAACGTCGCGATGCGCTGGTACCAAGCGCGCGGAGCCTGCTTGAGTCCGTACAAGGACCGCG